AACCCCGGGGCCTCGGCAGGACGGGGAGCGGCGCCGTTTGGAAGCGGGAAGAGGCAACGGAGGCGGCGGGGGGGAGGCTCGGGAAGGCCGGAACGGCGGCCCCCGAACTGGCGGCAGCAGCCGGGGGAGGAGGGAGCGGAGTCGCTCTCCTGCTGCGCTCCGGAGGCGCCCGCGACCCAGCGCCACGAGGCCAGCAAAGAATCCTCCCCGCTAGCCCGGGGAGAGGGGGTCCCTGCGCCCCAAGAGCGGGGAGCTGCAGGCCTGCTCCCGCCAGCCCCAGCGCCAGCTGGCAGGATCGGGCCTAAAGAGATTAAAGCCGCACTGCCTGGCTCGCAAGGTCAAAAAAGCTTTAAAATCTAATTACGCCACAGGAACAATCTGCTGACCGGCGCCTTTCCTGCACGGGGGCGGGAGGGCAGAGCCGTGCTCCGGAGGAATCGCTCCAGAGGCGTTTCGGTACAATTCAGCTGCTGCGGGCAGGAGGGGTCGATTCTCTTTAGGGTCGCTACAGGCTAAGTTATCTGGAAGATCCCTGAATGTGCAAACAGAGAACTTGAGGAGGACGAACGAGCTTCTGATCTTCTAGTGACCCGGTGGGCTGCCCAGCTCCACAGCCCTGCGCCCAGCTCCCCCGGGGCAGCCAGGAAATACCAGCGGGCTCCTCCCTCGCCCCGCGGCGCCTGGAGCCGGGCGTTCGCTCAGCCAGTCCGGATTTCACCTGCGTTACAGTTCCACTTTGACTCCTTTAATAAAAGGGAGACCCGATGGCACCTTCCTTTTGTACTCCAGGTACTCTTCCCCGAAGAAGTGAATGAGCGTGATCTCCTCCTCCTCGACCCGCTCCCTGAAGAAGCGCCAGGACACCAGGGCGTAGCCCACCATGCAGATGGGGTTGCAGAGCAACACCTGCGGACAGACAGCGGCGCTCAGCAGCCCCTTGCCTCCCAGAGAAACCCAGCCTGCCCCCCACCCCGCATCCTCATCACCTTTCATTAAGTTTGAGGTCTAAACCCTCTCCCAAGTCAAAACCCCAGCACCTTTTGGGGGATTTCATTCTGGGGAGAAATCAGTGCTTAGGAAGAAAGCGGCCTGAGGGCAGCTGCCAGCTCCTGCCACCCCGGCTAAGAGCCTGTGTGTGGCCACGCTGCTCCACGTGCGAGTCTTTATTCTCTCTCCAGAGAAATAAAACCACCTGCCAGCCACGAGAAGAGCAAGACTAAGGCAGCGCTGCGTTACAGCTCGACTGCAGCTGGTCAGGGCTCTGGGGGCTCTTAGAGTTTTCTGTCCCATCCCACACAGGATGGGTATCTGGCAGGAGCAAGGCTGAGTCCAAGCGCTTGTGGAAGTTGTTTTGGCCGCAGGGCACAAGGAAACTCTGGACACCAGCTCCAGGCTGGCAGACAATTGCACCCCGAGCCTCCGAGGGCGTCTGGCTCAATCCCCAGCCCCGCTGCCCCTGCTTATTCCACACAGAAAATTAAGGCGATGGGGTCTCCCCAAAGATCATGCAGGGCAGAGCGCTCGGGTTTCCTGACACCCCGTGTGCAGGTGGGAGGCAGGAGGCATCAAAATCTGCCCCCAGGCCAGCCCTGCCGCTGACCCCAGCGGTTTGCATCCCGTTACGGTGCACAGTGTTAAGGAGAAAGCCCCAGGTTAAAGATGAAAGTATCTGAGGGCGTTGCGAACGGTACCTGTGTTCCAATACTCCAGTAAAACCACCCCACGTAGGACGGGTGCCGGAACCACCCGTACACCCCGCTCGTCACCAGGGTGTGAGTGTCCGATTTCTCGTTCTGAACGATGTGGTTGAAGTTGGAGCCGGCTGTGAGCATGGCGGCCTTCCTCAGGCAGTCCCCAAAGACCACCATGAGCAGCCCCACCGTGCTCAGCCAGGTGATCTGCTTCAGCTCTGCAAGAGGACAAGGCCGGGTCACAGCGGGTGTGCAGGGGCCGGGCAGCGCCCGGGGACGCAGGTGGGAGGGGGGGCGGCGCGGCCGACCTGGGAAGAGGAGCTTCTCCAGCGTGAACTCCACCCAGGAGGAGAGGGCGGCCAGGTTGTACTCGAAGCTGTGGTTGAGCAGGAAGGAGTCCAGCGAGAGGCTGCGCGGGTTGTTGATGGCCGTCACCAGGTACTCGGAGTAGTGGAAGAGGGAGAGCGAGCACATGTACCTGCGGGGGGAGGGAACGCTTGGC